AAGTCCTTGACAACTTCAATTTATTATCTGTAAATTTTTGCAAAATCCTTGCAGGGTATTTATTATTGACCCAGTTTTATAGATGAGGAAACCATGGCTCAGAGAAGTATCAAAGTTTAGCAGCTGACTGAGTCAGTATTTAAATTATGCTTTTTTAAATGTTCATAGTATTTTGACTACACCCTTCTGCCTCTTCTATAAAATCTATGAGAGGGGCAGAGAAATAAGTCAGGGAAAGCACTGGCTTATGTGTTGCAAGGTCCCCAAGACCACGTGAAATGCTAATGATTCAATAAAACTCACAGGATTCAGTGTGTGCCCATACTCATACCCATGGTTAGATTTATTACAGAGAAACGAGACCAAGCAAAATCAGCTAAGAGATTTTGGGATGAAGGTGCTTGGGAACCAGGTGAACAATTCCAGTGGAGGCACATAGGACATGCTTCATTCCTCTAGCAATGAATTCTAACAGCATGTGTGAAATGTTGCCAACCCAGTGCCTGGGTCTCTCATAAGCCCCAAAATAAAACAATGGTAAAAGAACAGGTTTTTATCAGGGACTGGTCACATAGCACCCTCTACCTGGCACATACTAAATTCCAGACTCCCAGTAGGAAAGTGGGTATTTTGCATAAACCATTTTATTTAAGCAATATGGCTTATGGTGCAGTGGGCCAGTTTGATCACTTCTAGGAATGGTGGGACCCCTATCAAAATCCTTGTTCCCAGATTACCATCCAAGGATTAATTTGCAAGTCTCTCAAAGGATAGCAGTCAGGCTTGCTATATTAATTCTTTTCTGCACAGCTTGGAAATCAGATTTGTGTTCTAGTCCCAACTCTTCCACTCATCTACTCTGTGATCATTGGTGGTGTGCCATGGAGTCGGTTCCAACTCATAGCGACCCTGCATAAGGTTTTCAAGGCTGTAAATCTTTACAGGAGCAGAAAGCCTCATCTTTCTCTCGCAGAAAGGCTGGTAGTTTCAAACTGCTGGCTTTGAGGTTATCAGTCCGACTTGTAACCACTACACTACCAGAGCTCCTTACAGTTGACAATTTCTCTGGATCTTAGTTTCCTTTTCTATAAAATGAGGACATTCTGATTCTTAGTTTGCATTCTACACTTTCAAATGTATGCAAGTATATTAGCCACAAAGTGGTGGTGGTTATGTGCCGTGGAGTCGGTTCTGACTCATGGTGGTGGTGGTTATGTGCTGTGGAGTCGGTTCCAACTCATAGCGACCCTGTACAGGGTTTCCGAGGTTGTAAATCTTTACAGGAGCAGAAAGCCTCATCTTTTTCCCACGGGACAACTGGTAGTTTTGAACTGCTGACCTTGCGGTTCGCAGCCTGATTTGTAACCACTAGGCTAAGCGACCCCATATAGGGTTTCCATGACTATAAATCTGTACAGGATTAGAAAGCCTCATCTTTCTTCCACAGAACCACTGGTAATGTCTAACTGCTGACCTGACTCATAACCACAACTCTACCAGAGCTCCTTAGCTATAAAGTAGTAGTCCTTAAACAGAGGCATATCCCAATGTCAACTCAACTATGTATGGACTTGTGCAGGGTAATTTGGATGGTGATAGAGATGGGACATGACAAGATTTAAAATTCTAGGAGTTATGAAACTTAGTATGAGAATTATGGTGAGAAACTTGTTTAAAATGCAGAATCCTGGACCCCATATTCAGGAATTCGAATTCTGTATATCTTCCATGGTACCTTTTGTTGTGTGCTGTTCACATAGCAAAGCATAGCTACCCTATATGACAGAGTAGACTGCCCTAGGGGATTTCCTAGGATGTAATCTTTATGGGGGCAGATCACCAGGTCTTCTCTCCCGAGGAGTAACTGATGGGTTTGAATTGCCAACTCTTTGGTTAACAACTGAATGCTCAGCCATTGCATCAACAGGGCTACAGGGAATCTATATTTTAATAAGCTTTCTAAGTTATCCTGATGCAAGGATGGGTGACCGACCATACTTTGAGAGATCCTGAGTTAATAGGTTGTGTAGGATTCCTGTGATGTTGTGCTGTGAATCTAGATAAGTATGGTAGTGAAGGGAATACTATGGAAAAGATGGCTAATAGGAGAGTTATACGGTTTCATGAAGCGCAAACTGACAGTCAACACAAAACTGATTCCAATTAGAAGGTCTTGGATAGAGTAGGGGAAAATGTGGAACAAAACTCAAAATCATAAAAAACAAAACAAACAAACAAAAAAAAAACAGCTTTATTGGTCAGAAAGAGGCCCTGAGACTGTCACCCTTGAAATCACTCCCATGATTCAGTTTTCAGCCAAGCAGTAGACAAGTATATGGGGGGACAGCACTAGTGAGGTATGCTCCCCACAAAGTAGCC